TTTTAAGCCACCGGGACCGGGACGCGAACCGTGATCGACTACGTGGGAGTCCAGCGACATAGCCATTACGCTAACTGCTTAAACCTGACCTTTAAATCACCCACTGCGCTCAGCGTGCTATCCAGACTTCATGGCTCGCATTCTCCACTGACCACCCTCCTCCAGTGGGTTCTGAAGATTTCCTTCTTTTGAAGAAGCCTGTGACCATGTACCACATATCCTAACATTTGATTTCCAAATTACAAATATACCCAGTAGAAAAGAGAACCACGTTGGGACCAGTAGGTGGCGTAATGGCTACATGGGTGGATTCCCATGTAGTCGATGGCAGTTTGAGTCCCGGACCCGGTGGCTTAAACTCATGCCAGGCCTGTGCGTGCGTGCCCAAGATCCTGAGAGGAGAATGGAGGAGAAGGGACTGTGGCGTGGCCATCCCCCTGGGGGGTGATTTCTTGCTTTCTGTCTCTTTGTCTCTCTCTTTCTGGAGCGTGCATGAGTCCTACAGCAAAATCTCTCCCAAAAAAAGAGAGAACCACAAAATTACAAGTACCTTTGAGCAAACTCAAAGGCCAAGCAGTAGAAATCTGAACCTTGGTGGCATGGCAGCTGTGGGAGACCGGGGCAAAGGAGTGAGGGAGCCTGCTATGTGACACTTCTCCGGCTTTACCCTGGTCGACATGGAGGTGGAATCTCTGTGCCACCAACATCATAGGATGGTTTGGAGATAGAGACAAGTGCACAAGGAAGAGCTTGAAAGTATAACAAAGTACGATACCAAACCAAGGGAGCCCTGGCTTTGGAACAAGGAACATGGGGCAAGGGAGAGGCGTCAGTGCTGGGCCAGGACCGGCTATGGCACACAGTGGAGTGCTGGGAGCAAGTGGTGGAAGCAGAGAACCTTGGACAGGCTGCCTGGGGAAGCAGCCCTCAGCCAGGCCCTAAGGGTGGAGGAAGAGAATTCTAGGCTAAGGGGACAACATAAACAAGTCATCTCAGAACAAGGATGATTCCAAAGAAAGGAGAAATAGCTAAAAAATTGGGTCACTGGAAAAG